ATACACATACACACATATACACATGAAAACACAGGCAGTAGGCAGTTTTTTGGCCCTTCATGACGCGCTATTGGACCCCTAACAGTCTGCACTGCCATCTGTCACAATACAGGAGAGACCACGCACACACACACCACACACACACACTCACTCCAACAACAAATGTTTGTTCTGGTTTACATACGGCACGACTTGATGATGCCTCCATCTTTGTAAACACTGCAGAAGGATGCACATACATCCTGGTATATAGCTCAATTTAACCTCTACCTGCTAAAGCAAGACAACAAGTCTCCTGTTATTACTAATAAGCATGAACTAATTTGAATCCAGCTTTCCCTACTTGTCTCTTTATCCTGACAGGCAGAGCTCAGCATAGGCAGGGAATATTTCTCCTCTTGCCTGAGGACCTTTTTATAACTTTTTTTGAGTGTATTTTTCATTTCCTTTTTGCTCATCAGAACTTTTTCAGCTCCAGGGTCCATGAAACTCATTCAAAAAGGTGCAACTGACAAATCAAAAGAGAGACGTTTTGGAGTTTTTGTCCAGCAGATGAAAGACATTCAAATCTCTCTCATCAGCACACTACACAGGACGCCATGTTGACACTGACAGTTGTCACTCGCAGATCTCTTGTATAAGCCTGATCTGTGACTATGGGCTTTGTTATATGACTTAGTGCCGCTGATGTAACCCGCCAGCAGCACTTTGTCTGTGTGCATCCGCATGAGTATGTGTCTGTGTGTTCATGTGTTCATGGCAGCAGATGGTGGGAGCAGTATTACCACAGACCGATGGACAGTGCACAGGGTAGAGCGACTAGGCTGTGTTGACTACAGCAAAGACAGCATGACACTCTGTCTCTCTCTCTCTCTCTTTCTCTTCGTCTTCTTCCCATCCCCTCGGTGTCAGACGGATGAATGGCTGGCTATCTCTCTCAGTCAGCAGCCACGCCGCTCTTTCATCATCTGTCTCTCTGCTCGTTCTTTCATTCCTCTGTAAGGATGTCAGACTAGTCTATCACTCCCTCCATTCCTCAGTCCATCCATCCCTCCTGTCTGTCAGATGAGTATCTATCTCTCTTCCACCTCTTTTCCCCCTCGTCAATCCATCCCTCCATCCCTACGCTCCCTCCCACAGTGAGTTTGTGTGTTCTCTGTGTGTGAATCTACATGTGCAGTAGTGTTTGTTTGTTTGTGTTTTTCAATGCGCTCATGGCTACGTGGGCGCGTGTGTGCGTATATGCGTGTGCCAGATCACTATCAACCTCCTCCCTCTTCCCCTCCCCCACTGTGTGTGTGGTGTGAATCAAGGTCAGTGGGGATCTGTTGGCAGACACCCCCCGTCCCATCTATCCCACCCACCCCCTCCATGCTTCCCTCCCACACACACACCCAGAGGGTTTGTGTGTGTTGTGCCCATCCAGCCATCTAGATGTCCCTGCTATGCTTGCCTCAGCTCAGTTTAGCTCAGCTCAGCTCGGCTCCGTGGATTAATTACTGGGGAACCCACCGCGTCTCTGACCTCCACCGTCGGACTAATTGAAATCTAATTGAATTGTGCTTGTCTAGACTAATGAAGCCCCGCCACTGAAACCGCCAATCTTTTAGCTGTAGCTACTGGCCCGGTAGCCACCCAGCTGCACTGTACCGACTGCACTGTGCGGCTCAGTTTGGATGAATGGATGGATATGGGACCAGATTGGTAGAGTTACAAAGTAAAAAGACTTTTTTTATGTGTTTTGTGACTTTTACTGGATTAAAGTTCAACAGCATCATCAGATGTATTATAAAATTGTAGTTGAGTACATCAATACCTCCTGAAATATATGCTTCCCTATTACAAAATGTAATCCTATCTCATGTCAAAGCTGTGTTTTGCGTTTTTACTTTTTGCCAGTGCCAAATCATAGTGAAAGAAAACTTTATTTTGAGGCCCACAGTAGCCAAAATCATGTAATATGACATTAGTAAACTTGAGGGTTAGATTAGCTAAGCAGATCCTCACCACTGTGGGGATCTGGGTTCAGTCTTCAGCTGTGGTGCTTCAGGTTCGCCTGGGTGCACATACCAACACAGTGGGCAGCATTTGCAGGGTGGGATGCCGATGAGGTGTCCTTGTCTCTGCAGCAGCAGCGGGAGGTGGCATCTAGGCGGGATAGTGTGAACCTCAATACTCCTGTTTAGGCTGATCACTGACAGATGATAAGAAGTGGCTGAAAAGAAGTGGCAGAGACACCTGGCAGGCTGCATCCTCCCCAGGCTCACAGTGGGAGTTCCACCGTGCTGGGAAAATCAGCCAATCCAATTATATGTATTTTTGGGAGAAAAAGGGGGAAGAAGTGTCTTCTTACATAAAAATCTACTCTAGTTTTTTCTGAGTACAAACTAAGCCCCATCCCCAAACATAAGCAACTACAGCATCAACAAACATCCACAGTGCCCTTGTTTCTAAAACTTCATGAAGACCATGGAGGAGGAGGGCGGCTGTCGAAAGCGCTTTAGACAGACATGGAGGCCTGGTGGAGGTGGTGGTGGGGGGTGTACCCCAGGGAGGTGCTTGTTTTGTTGGGCCTTCTTTAGCTTTTAGCAGGTGAGAGACGGTGCCGTGATTCACCATAAGTTATTCATTTGACGTTTCCTCCCTTCTCAGCTCTTTGTAGGCTGGAATACATTAGCAACCTGGCAGAGTGGAGAGGATGCTAATGTGGAAGAGAGGGAGAGGGAGAGGAGAGGAAGAAAGGATGGAGGCAGTGGAGGGAAGGAGTCATTAGAGGAGGAGGAGAACAGAGAGGGAGAGGACACGGCTTTATGATGTGTGGGAAGGGGAAGTGACCTTCCCTCTCACTTTCATCTTGGCTTTTTTCTCCTCTTGCCTTGCTCCCTGACACACACACACACACACACACCTACAGACACACACCTACAGACACACACACACACACACACACTCAAATGTACAAATGTATGGTGCATGCGGGTGCACATTATAGACACAATGCATACAATCTCTTTTCTTGAGCAGGCACACACACACCTCAGTATCCATTTTTCATCCTTCTTTCTCTTCTTCTCTTTCTTTTTTTCCTGTGCAGGTCCCCTTGCAGCCTGGCCAGTCTTTCAAGTTCACAGTCCTGGAAACTCTGGACCGTATCAAGGAGGAATTCCAGTTCCTCCAGGCGCAGTATCACAGGTACAAATACAATATTACATTTCATTTATAAATAGAAATGCACGTCATAAATGTCTATGGTTAACATATTCTTTCTAATTAAGAGGAACTGGTATGAAAAATGGCTCATCTACATTTTTTTATTATTGTATATTCTCTACGCTAAATGTAATAATTATAGAAACAATAGATTGTAATTCAGTTCAGTGGAAGAGGCAGTTGAATTCTTGAATATATGAACCAGTAAAGATAATATGACAGCGTGCAAGTGCTGTCCTTTAATCTTTATTACTACACTTAATGTACAAAATATTGGAGACTGATAGTGAGTTGCAGCCTGTCATACTGAATCCAGGCTCACCCATCTCAAAGCTTTACACACTTCTCTAACTCTTTGTATAGATTTCCAGTTTTGCCTATGATACTGATAACATTAAACAAGTATATTTGTATCTCTTCCATTATTTCTGTTGCCATTACACTTTGTTACAGTATAACTAAAGTTGTGGATAAATTATGTTACAATTTCCAACATATCAAACAAACAAATGCAGTTTATGTATTTTTTATTTACTGCAGCTGGAGGTCACTGATGATCACAGTATCATATGGCTGACCAGAAGTGACCCTGGCAAAGAGAGATGAAGCACTGTTAAAATCCAGCCTCTTGCTCACACCTCAGTGGGCAAGCTGAAAAGCCTGCTGTGGTACAGCAATACCACTTTAATGCTAGACATTAGGCTGGTGGATCTCAGTTAGACACACACTCTTAAAGATGCAAACAGGTATCTATCCATGTGCCCTAATACTACATATACTATAGGTTTAATAATAATAAACCCCCTGACATATTAGTCGATATCAAGTGTCTTTTCACCTTCTCTGAATATTGGCCTGGTAAAGTTGCTGGTAAACTCATACACACTAGTGACAGCTCTAGAGTGACAGGAGAGGGGGGAGAGAGAGGGGATGACACGCAGCAAAGGGCCACAGGTTGCATTCAAACCCATGGCTGCTGCGGTAAGGACACCTTGGTACAGCACGACCAGGGCTCAACCTTGGTGGTTTAAACGGTCTCGAACAAATACATGTTAATAATGTACCTACAATTAGGCCCTTCCTGAATAACTAGGGGGTTTTCTGTCTTTGTTTTGTCCATTATTGACTCATGTAACGCATTTGAGTACTTTGGAAATAACCAGCCCTTTCCTTGACGTAAAACTAAAGCAGCCAAAAGGCACAAACCCAACATGAAATGTGATACTTTGTCAGGACTCATTGGACCCTAACATAAACACGGCAATGTATACATGACGTATATAACTAGACACACTCCCACACTCATGGAGGTGTGATGAATTGCAATGGTGAGTAAAACACACCCTGCTGGTTACCAGGAAAGTGATATTTTTCAGTGTCGCTTGAGCATTAAAACGTAGCCTGACCATGTGATTTAAGAATATTTTTTTGGTATCCTTACACGGCCTTAAACTATGTTTGACCTCTGCAATACCCGAGTCCGGTGAAAATTATAATTTATTTCAGTAGATGCAAATACACCATTTAATCCTAGTGTGTGTGTGTGTGTGTGTGTGTGTCCTTTTTCGTCCTTGTGCAGCCTGAAGCTGGAGTGTGAGAAGCTGGCTAGTGAGAAGACTGAGATGCAGAGGCACTACATCATGGTGAGTCCAATCAGGTCTTTACCAGAGCTGTACGGTGATTTGTTAGTCTGACTGGGCCACTCAGAAGCTCTGAAAAGAGTCTGATGGGTTCTTAGGAATTACAATCAGGGGACTTGTATCTGTGCTTTTGATTAGCTGGATTGATGTTATTTAGTGTTTATGGCGTAAAAGCTCTGTTTGTCTCTTCACTGTTCTTCCTTTATTTCTCTCATTCTTTCTTCTCTGTTTTAACTTATTTTCTCATTTAATTTACATCAATGGGTTTTTCATAGCACAAAAATAGGGCAAGGCAATAGACATATTGCACAATTTACAATTTAAAATCATATTGAAATGACATTAATATTTTTAGATGTCATTATTTACTTTGAGAAACATATGAGTGCAGTGGTTCATAATCTTAAATATCTGTAATAGTGGAGTACAGTTTCATATTTCCTCAAGTTGTACAAACTATTACTGAACCAGTATTATTTGTTTTTCTCTCTGTGTTTCTTGCACACCATTTATCTTGCTCACTCAAACTCCTCTCTAAAACGTACTTTCCCCTGTCTCTCTGTCTTTCCCTCAGACCCTCTTCTTCTTCGTCTCTCTGTTTTCTCTCGTGCGCTAACAGCCTGAGCTCCCTCTGTGTCGGTGTGTCTGTGCGACTAAAGGCTCACATGTATCGTAAGCCTTCGTCTGTGGTACAAAACCCACACAGAGCCGACCAGAATACGATATGCACCATCTGCTAAGCTGCTCGCATTTCATAAACCTGGGAGAGCAGGCAGGATCAGACCCGTAAGCTAGATAGACACACAGATGGATAGACAGAAAGAGGGAGAGAGAGAGAGAGAAGAGAGAGAGAGAGAGAGGCAACCAGACAGGCAGATAGACTGACAAGTGTGAGAGAGAAAAGCAAGCAGGCAGACAGGGAAACAGACAAATGGATATACTATAGGAGCGCACAGACAGACAGGCAGATGATAAAGAGATAAAAATATATACACACGAACACACAGGAAATACAGCATACACATTCATTCATTCTACACACACGCCCTTGTTTTTCTGTTCTTATGAGGACCTTTCATTAAAGATATAAGAGCCTAATGATATCAAAATGACATAAATATTTGTCCAATTAGGATTACTATGTTATGAAACAAACTGTTTGATAATAGTGTACCATATTATAACCAAAAGGTGTTTCTTTATTTTTACTACTGATGACTGTAAAACATTGAAGTAGTCAGAGTTGTTAAAGTAAGACTTCGTAACTTTTAAAGGAAGAAATAAAACATTGTTTCTCTTACAAGTTGTCACGGCACAAATTAATTCACCAGCAATAAAACAACCTTATTAAATCAATACAATCTGGGGTTTTGCTGATACAACCTTTCTT